AAGCGTATAATTACGACTGTTTTCTTGGATTTAGAAAATCGCGTTTACTTTGAAATGCGCGCGTTTCCTCGAAACGTATGTTCGCAGGATTCTCTCTTAAGTATACCGTATTAATCGCGGTCTTACGATACGAGGACAAAGTACAAAAATATCTGTACGGATCGTTTTAACGTCGTAAACCCGTAAAATGGTTTGTTTGACGAGAAGCTATAACGTCTTTTGTGTTTCTTTCTCGTCGTAATTTTGCTATTCGTAGCATGCTGAATCGACATGCTGAAACGTAGGAAAATGGTACTGCAAACTGTACCACGTGCCATAACGTCGACGCGTATTCGTATTTCTGATCAAAATCGAAGAACGGTCGGTACGAGATTCTTCTCTGATAAAATTCCTTTATTCTTAAATGTGCGACTGTGATTAATTTTCGTTCGTTTTAACGAGAGAACCGGGCAATGCCTTTGAACGGAATGTCGCGAAGACGGCTGAAACGAAGCAGCAACGACGATCCGTAACACAGTCGGCGGAGGACCTAACCCGCGGTGAAAATTCTATTTTCGAAGCATCTCGCCACGAGCTTCTCCGAATATCTCGAAACCGTAGGTAGCATTCTCGTCTCTCGATGAAAATAATTCCATAGGTTCGTGATGCGTGGCCGCTTTCTACGGTGCAAACCAACATGGCGCTCGCTCGCTAATTTTTCCACCGTGATTTCGACGAAAATAAATAAGTCTCGTTTCAGAGTTAAAGATACAGAGTACAGAGAGTACAGGGAAATCGTAGAAAATTCTAATTTCTATTATACATAGGTACTTTAAGAGCGAAATCGTTCGTTCCGAGTAGATCGAAGTATCCTACACGCAATGAAAAGAAGTTTGCGAGGTAGCAGAGAAAAATCGGCCTTACTTAGGTTTAAACGAATAAGACGCGACATCCTCCTCTGTGGAGAGGAGAGCTACTCTCTCGGTCACGGATAACATTTGTAAAGCGACATTTGTAATCGTTCCATTTGCAGCGGCAGCAACTGGTTCTATTCACCGTTAAACGAACTAAGTGGCAGACTGCCGGTGTAAAGGGTGAGACGCGCGATAGCCATCGTTTCACGATAGGATATGCCTATAATGCCGCGTAGAAAACGTTTCCTTTCTTATTTCCTTCGAGTCATCGAGTGCCTTTTTGGGAGAGAAGTAATCGACCGATCGAGTTGCTGAATCGAGATTTTTCCGCTCGTGCTTGCGGGTGCTTTCCCCGCTAATCCGTCGACGAACGTTTTCTCCCAAATTTCTGAGCGTCGAGCGACTGTCGCCTACTCTCTACAATTTGTATAATATGCATATATGTAAACAAGAACATCGATCGATCGCGAGTAGTATTTATTCCTTGGCATACCCGTATGTTTGTGCGCGACGGAAGAGTCTAATATTACGGAAGTCTTGAATAAACTTATTAACACGTTTCTTGGCAAGCGACGTTTGTCAATCTCTAACGCCGTTGCATAACTGTCCGAGATCGCGTTTTACGAGGCGCGATGTATTTCTTTCATATCGTGTCAACCGATCGCAATTCGGAACAACGCTTTTACACAGGATATGCACGGCTCTCGAGGCGAAAGCTACTCTAGCGTGTTTTCGCGGGTATCTTTAGGACACGCTATATCGTTCCGGAGTTAAAATAGATTCGAACAGGCTAAAGCGCGACGAACGACGCAGGACGACAAAGTTCTTGACACTCGAGCGCATCGACAAATTGACAGGCGCCTCTGCCAATTTTATTCCCACCGACGAAACTGGCGCTCGTGAATTTATTTTATTCGCTGGAGACGTTTCAACGCCGATTTATCGTAGATCGCAGGTGCAAAGAATCGGAGAAACGTGGCTCGCGTTCTCGCGATTATGCACTCAACTAGGGATACTTGGTTTCTATTATAACGAGTTTAGCGACCTTGGCACTAGGAATATTTCGAGTTTGCAAATATCGTCGTGAAAACTCTATTCGACCAAACTACAGAGAGAGATAGATAGATAGAGATAGAGATAGGGAGAGAGAGAGAGAGAGAGAGAGAGAGAGAGAGAGAGAGAGAGACGGTCGTGAAAACGGGGATTCCATATCGATTCGAAGGAAAGTCACGTGCGATCGTTAGAACGTTGTCTAATTCCGTGGCCGTCGTGGACGTAGGTGACGCGAACGTATCCATTTGTCGCATAATTCAAACAGAGGTGTTCTGTTAAGCTTGGTTAGCGGTGAGACAGAGTGGAACACGGGGAAAGAGCGAGACGAGTTGCTCACGTGAGACTGCTACGACGTCTATTTGCTCTTCCTATTTTCGTAGCCGTTTGGTATATAAGGAGCCCGTCCTCGGAACATTGCCGAAAGATTTGGCAGCGATCCGCGATTTTCTGCGCCGCGGCACTCGCTGTGCCATAGATAGAGTCGCTAGAGAAGACGAACACGAGCATAGTTCACCCGGAGGAATCGTGCCGGAGATGCGTTGTCCGTTTCGACGGGAAACCGCCTCGAGTTGCTCCGATTTTCCGGCTGGACTTGTTTCGCGTTCTTCCTCCTCTCGAGCCTATCTTTCGAGTGGGGAGATCTCAAGATAGATCCTCCGCGAGCGATCTTCCTTCCCGATCTGGTTTTACTCGCAGTGAAATAGCGAAGATAGCGTTTTCGCGATTGCGTTACTGCGATGTTTCGGCAGTTTCGTCAACGGCGCATCGACCACGCAACGATTACTTTTGTCAAAGCCTCGTGCAAAGGTGACAGGAGTTGGTTCTTTGGTGATACTTGGTGATATTCCGCGAAGATCGTACGTCCGAGCTGTTGTCCCCCGCGATTTTATTTGGACGAGTAACGTCGACAGCTGCGGCTGCCAGCGAATTGGGACAATTCGGATCTCGTCCGAAACGGCGCGCTCTGGCGTACACGGCATCGGTGTTTGGCACCAATGGAAGATAAATAAAACACGTGGCACACGCACGACTGGCAGCCGTGCTCGGCAAACGATCTCAGAGGGTTGAAAGGAACCGGTGGAGGAAAGAAGGCGAACAGTAGTCGGGAGGAATGTCGAAGGCGACGCGTTCGACCAACTGAACAATGGGGAACACGGACAGCGTGCACGACGTAGAGATGAGCTCCTTGTCCTCGGCAGCCAACGATCGTTCTTACATCAGGGTGAATAGAAGCGAGCAACTTGATTCGAACCTGGTTTGTCCCCTTTGTCTCATCGTGGATATCAGAGTGATTAACCGCATTCGTTTAAAACGTTCGTTTGAAACGATATTGGCTCGACGGTAAAGCAACGTCTACCTACCTACGCGAAGCCGACGAGTAACTATTCGCGGCTCTAACTCGAATAACAGCGATACGGCGTTATCAAACGATAGGTGTTACCGTGGGTTACCGGGCGACAGATAAAAATCGAGCAACAGGAGCTTCGTTCGAACAAGTTGTAGAGGCAGACCACGAATTACGTATATCGGTGTCTGGCTTCGTACAGGCGCCAACTAAACACAGATTTCTGTGTATACTAGCAACTGCTTGACGCGCTAGACGATATATATCGCACCTTTTGTACGGAATCGGATGTATTCTAAATCGCGCAAACGATATCGTTCGAGGTTTGTTGCTTCGTCGCTTATGCCACGGAATGTCGATAAATTCGCTTCTTCTCGTTTCTCTTCGATCGTTTCCCTACAAACAACGTTTATATGCGTTCTCGCGTATCGAGTAATCGTTTGCGTAAAAGTGGAAGAAAAATTTTCCTAAAAGTTGTTAAATTCACTTTCAAAGTCGTACGTCGATTTCCAACAAATTGTTGGACATTATCTTATCTAAACTGTCACGTATGTATATTTCGGTATTACGTAGGCGCGCATATCTCAAAGTTAAACTCGGTGTTTGACGGCCATCTATTTGGTCGCAACAAAGTTTCCGATGCTATCCGATCGTGCAACTTGGAAACGCTTGTTTGTAAACTGGTCGGCTTATCTGCCGACATTAAAGCTATCTATCTACAAAGGGAGCGCTTATCTCGTTCGATCGACCGCCTTGCTACACGGTATCGATAAAGGTTACCGATACCGGTTGCTCGATAAAGTTGCGATTTACGTAACGCGCGTTAGCACGAGTAACGTCTATTTTATCGGGAACGCGAATTTCAAGTTCTTCCACGTTTTAGTTGGCGTTTGTCGCGGACAAGGCGAGTTACTTCGTTTTCATTTATTTTTAAATACACGCCTGGGAGACGTTTATAATCGAGAAACGACCCACTTAACGGATCGTAATAGAAAATCAAAGTTTCGTCGGGAAACAGGGAAACAAACTGTGTCGCGTGGAATCGAGGAATCCGGTAGAAAACGCGATGTTCTCGAATCTCTGTTAAAACTCAAGTATAACGATTTTATTCCGCTCAGTTCCTCGCGTTATCTCTCACCCGAGCAAAAGTTCTCGCTCGTGATTATTTATAACGTTCTCTATTCGTAGTCTCATTGTCAAGATCGGAAAATTTCTCTTCGCGCGTTTAGAACCAAGCCGGTTAATTTCATTTACATTTCCTATTTTTCACTATCCTATTCACGAACGACAGTCCTATTACTTATGCGCAAAACGAAACGACAACTCGGCCAAGACGTGGCAATTTTACGTTTCCACGATACAATGATAATTACCCTCTATCCGCGATTCCATTGTTATCGAACCAACTACGTAAGGTGAGTAATTTGTTGGTTACGCAAAAGCACAGATAATTCCCACTACCGAACACGCTTCCGTTTCGACGAACATGGCTACGCTTTGTCGTTTTCCTCCAAACTTTATAAATCGGGTCGAAACACTCGAGACGATGTTTCGCGTTGAATCGAACAAATCGAACGAATCGACGAATCCTCTTGTTCGTGTATCGTGAACAATGATTTTGTGCGATCGTCTTATCGAATCCTCTCTATGTAAATACGTAAGATACCGTGGAAGAATCGTTTTTTAAATAAATGTCTGATTCGTTGCAGAGAACGCCAATGCGCCCAATGATAGCGGAATACGACCCAAAGAAGCACGGTGTGAAAACAGAACTGTCAGACACGGTTCTTGTCAAGTAAGTGCGAAAACTTGGTTTACGAAACCAACGCGAACGAACGGTTCAACGATAGTCGAGCGATTCACTATCTGCTACCACGACCAATCATCACCATTGCTTTCTTGCCAAACTCAAATGCTCCGTGCTCAAGCAAACGTGAGTGACAACCCGAGGATCATATATTGTGCATTATATCGTATATATGTGTATTCTCTCATTCTCTGTGCTCTCTGTGATATAATTTATTATTATACATAGATACATACGTGTATATATATATACATATATATATATATATATTTATTTATTTATTTATTTATTTAATACGATATTCCATAATATATAGAAATAACTTCACAACTAATTCGTGCATACCGCCTGTGATCGCTGACGTAGAATTCGTAGCGTAGCCTGGCACCAGGGATGCTTGACAATCGACTGCTGAATCGTGACGATTCTGTTATCGCTGGTTTGTGCAGAAACGCGCTTCCGTTTTTATTTAGCGTGCCTGCCATGTACTCGTACGTTTGACAATTTTACTTTTCTCTTGGTTTTACTTTCCTGTTTTTATCATTTTTCTGCTTCGTCTCCATAACCCGTTTAAATCCAGAACCGAAGGCCACCTCGTTTTGTGCAATCTTAGAAGTCTGAAGTATTTTTCTTCTTCTTCTTTTTTTTTTTTTTTTTTTTTTTTTTTTTTTTTTTTTTTTTTTTTTTTTTTTTTTTTTTTTTTTTTTTTTTTTTTTTTTTTTTTTTTTTTTTTTTTTTTTTTTTTTTTTTTTTTTTTTTTTTTTTTTTTTTTTTTTTTTTTTTTTTTTTTTTTTTTTTTTTTTTTTTTTTTTTTTTTTTTTTTTTTTTTTTTTTTTTTTTTTTTTTTTTTTTTTTTTTTTTTTTTTTTTTTTTTTTTTTTTTTTTTTTTTTTTTTTTTTTTTTTTTTTTTTTTTTTTTTTTTTTTTTTTTTTTTTTTTTTTTTTTTTTTTTTTTTTTTTTTTTTTTTTTTTTTTTTTTTTTTTTTTTTTTTTTTTTTTTTTTTTTTTTTTTTTTTTTTTTTTTTTTTTTTTTTTTTTTTTTTTTTTTTTTTTTTTTTTTTTTTTTGAATGAACGAACGAATATCGTTAATTTTATGTTCGAACGTTATCGCATGCGTAGCGATATCTTCTCAACGTATCGTTGTTTACCTTGGGAATATCGTGGATTGTTTCAAGTATTTACAGGCACCGCCGAATAACATCGATCTAACGTCGTGATAGTATTTTTATAATTTGGAATAAAAAATGGGTCATCATCGAAGAGTATCGGAGCTGATACGCACGATGTGTTGGACACCGTAAGTGCTGGTGTAACGTGTTTCCATTTCACGAATGCGTAATACGAGTATACATATGTATCTGTATAGCGGTCGTTAGCGAGATCATGTTAGAATCGTAACAAGAGTTTTGGCAGCACACGATGAAGATCCTATAACTACGGTATACTTAAAACGCAAAGTAGATTTTACTTTCGAATCGATTAACGTTCGAATATCTTTTGAAAGAAAGGGTTGAGTAAGCTGGCAACATTCTGAACGATACAATCCTAATTATCATTTATGTACCTTGTTAAACAATGACGGACTCGATGACGAATTCAAGTTGTATAATTCAAAAAGCAGATTCTCCGTTTTCCTGGTTATCGGCGATATGCGTAAATAAAAGCTATGTAATCTGCCAAAAGAGTACTTGTTCTTAAGAAGCAAGAAGAACCAGGAAAAGGGAAATGTCGTCGAAACGTTCGATCGTCCGATGAATTTATACGATTATGGTTTATTCAACCCATACGTGTATGTACGTAATACGTAGTCCCCTGTAATAACGATTTCATTATCTTCGTCTCTGCCATATCGCGAACAGAAGTAGCAAAGTGATAAAGAAGGGCCTGGAAAAAAGCAAAAAAGAAAAAAATGAGAGGATACAATATACGTAAATCATGCATAAACGAGCGATTCTCGATCGTCGATTTGGCTTCGACACGACGAAATCTTTGGATCCTTTGCGCAGAGGATGGAATTTCTCCTTACTGCACCTTAAGAAACGTCGCTTTCTTAATGTTTTCCTTCCAATCTTCGCGCACACAGTCTTTCGCATTTCTCATATTAATCGCGGTAATCTCTTTCTCTCATAGAGCGGGGTTAGGTTTCGTAAGTTTGTTTATCGCGTCCAGTTTTCTCATAGCGATCATAACCGATCGTTCGCGACGACTATAAAATACGCTTTATAACGCGGAAGTAATCGGTAATTATAACTCTTCGGAGTAATCGCGTTTATCCCGCTTTTTTCCATAATACGTGCAGTTACATAAACCTATATACGTAGTGCAATCACTTAATTAAAAACGCGACCGCAGCTAATTTTGAAAGATCGTTTCGCGAGAAATACGCGTCGTTTTGATTCTCGCGCGTATAAGCGTTCGGAAATTTCGTGCCGAAGATAATTAGTCGACAACGGCTGGTAATTAGTCGGCTGGTCGGAAACGTTCGAACGATTTACTGCGGAAACGCCGCGTTTCGAACGAATTACGCGTTCCTTTTAGCGTTTCGCGGTATATACACGCGGAGCCATCGATAGCTTGTAAGAGTAGCCGGGAATGCAAAGAAAAACAGTAGAAAGAAGTTACGAAGCCCGGTTTTATCTCGTATTATGTTTTTGTCGCAATTTTACGCAATATTTTATCGTAGTTCTTCGATGGAGATTCCAATTTTTCTCGAAGCTCGTCGATTTCTTCGCGATATAGGCTTTATCGTTAGTCGAATCGCTACTGCGCGCAATGTGCTGTATCTAGATCGTGTAATTCCGCTGATATTACCATTCAAAAGATAACGAAATGAGAAAAGGCAAAAAGATGGTAGAGAGACGGAGATACGGAAAAACGAGGGAAAAGGAAAAAGGGGTTCAAGGTGCAGAAAGGAGAGAAAGCTCGCGGCGCGGCGGTTTCTTCGTCATTGGCTGAGGATGCTTCGTAATTGAGGCCATGCGGTATGCAAGCAAACTATGTTCCTCTAAAGGATTATGATAAAGATAAAATCTGTCTTTACTATATAATATGTGCATTTATATGATTCCAGACTTGCGTATAAACTGCGGGCATAGATTCGGGCTCTATGAAAGTGCTCTGCGAATAACGTGAAAGTGACAAAAAGTAAAACATAAAGTATAAAGTAAATAACAAAATATATATATTATACATATAGGTACACACGGTACCGTTTATGAGAAAGAAACGGCACGGTCTCTCTGATGGACGATCGCGGGTTCAAAACGCGGATTTATCGCGTGGCGGTTTTGTTACGATCGACGCGTAGGTACTGGCGCCAGATGCTCGGTCGAGCGACGGTGAACGAATACGCTTCGTCGAACGAAAGGACGAAAAAAGCAACATTGAGATTCGAAACGAAAAACAAAGATGTAAAGATTAGAACGAGAAGTAAAAAAATACGTGAACGCGGGGTTCTGCGACACGAGACCGGACGCAAACGCGACGCAAACATACCGACGGACGATATCAACGAAATTACGGAAACGATCCAAAAGTAAGAAAAAAAAAAAAAAAAAAAGAACCTAGAGAGAAAGAAAGAAAGAGAAACGCAAATTACTGGACGTCGTGCGAATTGGTGCTTGTCGAAAAAAAAAAAAAAAAAAAAAAAAAAAAAGAACCTAGAGAGAAAGAAAGAAAGAGAAACGCAAATTACTGGACGTCGTGCGAATTGGTGCTTGTCGAAATTATTCAGAGACAATGATACCAAAAGACAAGACTAAAAAACAAAAATTGGCATTGAAATTAAATAGACGATCGTTCGACGTGCGTGTAAGAAAATACGGATCGAATCTAAAAAAAAAGTACCGAAAAGTAATATTAATAGAATAATAATTAAAAAAACGAAAAAAGAAAAAGAAAAAAAAAAAAAACCACGCTCGGCGAAAAATGCAAAATGTCGAAAAGCAAAGAAGGCTCGTTAGTCGTCGTACTGCGTCGTGGCGCTGGGCGTCGCGGTGATGCAGTGCGGTGGTTGCAGCTGCCTCTGAGCCTGATCGCGGCGCGTGAACTCTTGTCACGTGTAACGTGACGCACACAGACCTACTACTGCTACTCTACTACTACTACTACTAGTACTACTACTACTACTACTACTACTACTACTACTACTACTACTACTACTACTACTACTACTACTACTACTACTACTACTACTACTACTACTACTACTACTACTACTACTACTACTACTACTACTACTACTACTACTACTACTACCACTATTCTATCCCGGAGCTTTCTCAACTAAGAAAGCTTCGCACGACTAAGGAGAGAGACTACCGCACCTCAATGGGTACCTATATGCCTACACACCTACTTTTTTGCGATTTTTTTTTTAAGTACATCCTACGTTATGTATCTAGTCGTTACACGCGAGAAATACACACACAAGTACACGCACACGTACTTACTACGTGATCCTGTAAAACGTAGAGTATTCGGTAAACGTAAAATCGTAACAGATCTCGATGTCAATCGAAAAATCGAAACGTTAAAACGTCGAACGATAACCCTCGAACGAGTCCGTCCGATTGTCCATCTCGTCTGATAGATTTGCTCGTTTTCCCGTTTTTCAATCGCGAACAACGCTGCTTTCGTGTTCGAGATCGTTCGTGATCGAAGTTGCGTTAAACTTACGCGGAACGTTATCAACATCGGAGAAACAGTGCATGGCAAAACGCGAAGGTACTTGGTTTCGGTAACTTAAAAACGCGTTGAAACTTAGTAGGTTTTACCTAATTACGTAGGTTTACCTTTTTAGTATAATATTAGAAATTCATAGATGAAACTAGTTTGCCACGATATATCGCGAAACTGTTACAGCGAAACAGATTTCTCAGAAATCATTCGATAGAGTATCCGTGGAATTGACAAGCGTACAAGTTCCTCGCTATTTTCTACAAATACGTCCATGAATTATTCATCGTAAAAAGCTGTGGCTAAAGTACGATGTGTGCACCGCTGTATTTGTAAAGAGAACGAAACCGATGTAGCTACGAATAATAAGAAATTTCGAGCGAAACATTCACAAACAAAATGATTTTACGTCTAAAACGGAATTACGACTACGATAATACTCGCGTTTCTCTTAAATAACCGAGGGAGACGTTCGTCGGTGTTAAACGACTGCGATAAAATTTTCAAAACTCGACGTTTCGCTAGAAATAAAATCCGTTGGCACGTGTTTGCCAACATCTAGCGAAACTCGATGCGCTCGAGATTATTATTCCACGGATCGGACATTTAAAATCGGTTTATTAATAAACGACGCGAAACAAGCAGAGACAGACTTTTGGCAACGTTGTCGTTCGTACCTTGTAAATCGTTAGATCCTAATCGTTCCGAGTACGAAAGAGTAATTTTTATCGCGACGACGAATTCGTCGCATCACGTCGAGTTTCGTTCGAGAAGAACAAGAACTATTGCATAAAAAGTCCGAGTAATCGATCGATAAATTCGGCGTGTAAAATGTAAAGAGCGGTGGCAAAGACGATTGTTGGCCCACGTTCTAATTCCGCGCTGTGAAAGCTAAATGTCATCTCGCGAAACACGCTGCGCCATGCACTTTTTCCCTCGATCGCGTAAGACGATAGAACGAGTGTCCACGATAATGGAATTAATCAAGAACGATAGAACGAATCAGATAGACGAAACGATACGAAACGAGAAACGTCGAGTCGGGCACCTGCGTGATCCTCGACTCGAGAGTAACGATTTAAAAGTATACGGATGAAAAGAAAAAAAAAAAAAAGGGAAAAGAAACAAAGAGAAATCCGCGACGTTTTCGAGAGATTTTGATCGAGTTTCCGCGATTCTTTCGATCGATTTCCTCGATATTCTCTCGGCACGTGCATAAGGGCGGAAAGTTGGGCGACAGAAAGGAAATCGAAGGAACCGTTTGTCCGTAGAAACGTGGATAGAAACGCTGGTAGAGACGCGCGTGCAAATTCATTACGTCAAACGGTTCTTCGATGACGGAGTAGTTCTTTTACTACTCGATGGGAAATCCATCATCGACCGACTGACAAGCTCGCCGATAGAACGTTTCTTTCACTCGGTGGAAAGCTCGATCGATCGAAATTGGCATTCCACAGAGTAGAAATTAAATTGGATAATTTCACCGAGGAGCCAGAGAGTAACGTCGCGATCTTGTCTCGATACAATCTTAATAGGATCTAACGCTGTTACGATTAATAATTTTGAGAGAATAAACGTCCAAGATCGATAATCTCTTTGTCGTTCTAAGAAATTCTCCCTTTCCGGTGAAATTTTATCGAATATTATCGTTAGCTCGATTAAAAGTCGATCAAAACGAATCCGTACTTGTATAAAGCTTGTAAAAATAAGATCAAGAGTACTTAGAAATCGTTTTCGACGTTATTCGCTGGCACCTTTCGAACCGGCAACGAACCGTAAGTGCACAGCGCGAAGGATAAACGTAAAACCGATCGATATTACTCGAGATCGCGCGCTGCGAGAGCCGTTAAAACCGCGAGATCTAGCGTTAAGCGTAGCGTTAAGTACGCTCGTTGCTACCTTCGTTTCCTCTACTCTAGAATTAATGCGCGTTACGAGTGTCCAGCTTTTGCACGATCGAAACGCGTACGTCTCGCCCACGAAATCACGTCTTTATCGCGTTATCATCGAGTTCAGTGCAACGTTTAACTCGTAAGCGCGCGTTCAATGTCGCAGTCAGACGCTTTCCTCTTTTCGAAATCGTCGTTTAGAGTCGAGCTATTGAAAGAATAGTCGTACGCGCGATCGGCAATAAATAATCGTAAACGTATTCACCGGTATCCTTGAGAATGATAAATCGACGACCGCGTAAGACGGCGTAATTAATTATTTCGCGATTAAAGCGAATATCAACGAACGAATATTTCGTCACGAATATCTTACGTAAACGAGAAAAACTCGATGAGTTATAAATATCTTTCTCGCTTAAAATAAAAAAAGCGAAATAAGGGAAAGAAGGAGAAACGACTCGACGCGCGTGGAAAGGAGAAGCAATTTTCGTCGTCTGTGTGAAAATATGATATAAAGATTGCCCGTTGCAACGTATCCCGCTGTAATTACTCTTTACAGACTGTTCTTCGACCATCGAAACAAAAATAATCGTTAATTACGCGTCTGACTACGGCATTCCGCGAGTTTTACGCGTACAGTCGTTCTACGGACCGTAACGCACGGTCGATCGTACTCATCGAACGCTTCGATCCTCTCTGTTCTCCCTACTGATCCGTGATCCTTGTGCGTGGCGTGCACGCGGTGCGCGAGTACGAGAGGAAAATCTCTCACACGCGCGTCGCTCTCTACGCTTCCCTCGTCTACGCGCTCGTATATATGCGTATACACTTACACACTTTTTTTTTTCCCAATCTGAACAAAGAACACTCGCGTATAATCGGTGCGTGAAAAAGGAAAAAAAAACACGGTCGTGTCGTACGTACCGTAGCCGTAAATCCCCGCGTCAGACACTTCTTTACTCGCCATCTCAAAACTATGATATTAAATGTCCCTTTTATATCGGACAGCCGTTAACTCGACCGGATACTAACGACTTTGTTTTGCAGATACAAGTGCGAGAAAAATGACATACCGATTACCGTCACGAACGGCTCGACGTTACCGCTCGTGGAAAGACCGAACGACGAGGAAGCGGCCCTTTACAATCCGTTCGAGCACAGGAAGTTGGCCCATCCGACTTCGGATCTGGATACGTTGATACATCTTCTGAAAGGAAGCTTAGGAACGGGAATTCTAGCGATGCCAATGGCCTTCCGTAACGCCGGTCTGTTGTTCGGCCTGATCGCTACCTTCTTCATCGGTGCTGTTTGTACCTACTGCGTTCATATTTTGGTCAAATGCGCTCATAATCTATGCAGGCGGACTCAAACGCCGAGTCTAGGGTTCGCCGAAGTCGCGGAAGCCGCGTTTCTGGTCGGTCCTGAGCCGGTACAGAAATACGCTCGCCTAGCCAAGTAAGCTCTCTTCTTTTCCTCCGTTACGTTCGCGTTATCCGAGTCTTTCGCTTTCTCCGAATCTTTTTGAAATTCGTCCTACTTAACTCGTCAACCCGTTGAGCAGTTATAATCGGACCATTAGACCACTGTTATCCGTCATCTGTCGTAGTTAAGTTTCCGCTATTCTTTGTCAAATTTCAACTGTTCGTTTGAAAGCGCGTCTTCCCTGTTCCAAGATCGTACGCGATAAGCATCGAGTAAACTTTTGTGCCGCTCGGCGGCCGAAAATCAGCATAAGAAAATCAAGATAAGACTCGAAAGTAACCCGTCTCTGGAATTTTTTCAGGGCGACGATCAATTCGTTCTTAGTGATCGACCTGATAGGCTGCTGCTGCGTGTACATAGTTTTCATTTCAACCAACATCAAGGGGGTGGTCGACTACTACACGGAGACCGACCGCGATGTTCGATTTTATATGGCGGCGTTGTTGCCTTTCTTGATCGCTTTCTCGCTCGTGAGAAACCTGAAATTCCTGGCGCCGTTCTCCATGATCGCCAACATATTGATCGCCACTGGAATGGGGATCACGTTCTACTACATTTTCAGCGACTTGCCCAGCATCAGCGATTTACCCAACTTTTCGAGCTGGTCTCAGTTACCTCTGTTCTTCGGTACGGCCATCTTCGCTCTCGAAGGCATCGGTGTGGTAAGTACGATCGACGAATCCCGATCGAATCCTCGTAAATTTCCTCTTTTCCTCTTTTCTTCTTTTCTCTGTCAATTTCTGTCAATTTCCGTCAATTTCTGTGAATTTCGTCGCACGAGTACGAAAAACGGATCGCTTACTCTCCTCGTTCGTGTATTACGAAAAGTCGACGATATTCTTATTAAGTTATGGAGTTAATCGTTGCTATGGCTCCTGAATAACTCAGCGTCATCTTTGAAACGATATTTTCACGTCACCGATATCTTCTCGCGGAATTTAGCATCTTACGTAGTTGGTGAGTCTATTTTATAGAGTCGAGCGTATCGTTGGTATTCCGTTCGAAGCACGCTCGGTCGCGAACATAGCGGTTGAATCGCGTTTAGTATTTCGATCATGCGATAAACGGTTACGAACGTTTGCCGGCTAGACGCCGCGCCGCGTCGGATCGAAAATTCCGACGAACGATCGCGATCGCGGTGAAATTCACACTTCGATATTGCGCGCTTCTCCAGCGGCCTTGAAGCTTTGCGATTTCTTTTCCCTTTTTTTTTTTTTTTTTCGTTTCTTAAGCCGATAGAACGTTCTATAGAACGACGATCGATCCCCGATAAATTTCCATACTTTTTAACGTTGAAACAAAACGTTGTAGCTGCGTACGATTTAACGATAAAGATCGAGGATTAATCCAATCTCGGCTTTAATCTATCGGATTGAAAGTTACCGTGGATTAAATCGCAGGATACTCTTCTTTAAGTACCCACTACCAGCGCGATAGATATCGTGTCTAGCTTTCTAGTAGAAATGTCATTGTCATAGTCGTAGGAGTCGAACGGATCGCGTAACCGTAACAGGTAGAGCGTGACATGATCGTCGATGCGATTTAAGGACGTTCTTCGAGTTCGTTGTTCGAGAGGTTCGCTAAATTCCGCGATCGAAAAGACCGTTTCAAAGTTCTGCGAGACGAATCGTTCTGGACAGAGATAGAAGGGGAAATTTAAGCAAACCTGTAAGCTGGATAAGATAAATCTTTGAATCATGAAAATGGTGTTTTTCACAGGTGATGTCTCTGGAGAACAATATGAAAACCCCGACGCATTTCATCGGTTGCCCAGGTGTGCTCAACACTGGTATGTTCTGCGTGGTATTGTTGTACAGCACCGTCGGTTTCTTCGGCTACTGGCGGTACGGCGAGGACACGAAAGCCTCGATCACTCTGAACCCAGAGCAAAACGAGGTTCTGGCCCAATCGGCCAAGTTAATGATCGCGGTTGCCATCTTTCTCACCTACGGTCTCCAATTCTACGTTCCGATGGAAATTATCTGGAAGAACCTGAAACAATATTTCAGCTCGAGGAAACTCCTCGGCGAATACCTAGTCCGTATCCTGATGGTGATCTTCACGGTGGGCGTGGCGATCGCTATTCCAAACCTAGGTCCGTTTATCTCTTTGGTAGGCGCTGTGTGCCTGTCCACTCTCGGTTTGATGTTCCCTTCTGTAATCGAACTGGTCACTGTATGGGAACAAGAGAACGGTTTGGGGACGTGCTACTGGAGGCTCTGGAAGAACCTAGCTATCATCCTGTTCGGTGTATTGGGTTTCATAACCGGAACCTACGTCAGCATCCAGGAGATCATCGAAGAGGACAAATGAAGCGCCGGGTTCGAAGGAGCTGCGGTGCGACGGAATAATCGCTCAGCGCGTACCACAGATGCCGGCGTGTCGTTGGACACCTTCCGCGCTCTCGTCGAGCGAACTCGTCGTCCGACCAGAGGAACGACGATTACGACCACCGGGAGGGTGGGTGATGCTGCCGCGGCTGGATCATCCAGCGAAAGGTCATGCGAGCGCGCGAGCTCTCGACTCGTAGCTTCGTCTCGCTCCTTTTATACGTTTCACTTCACGCTATTGATAGCACGACGGCTGTATCGACGACGAAGACGTTATCCGTTAGATAGGATCCATCGTCGATCCTCGGATCTTTTCTCTCTCTCTGTTTCTTATTTCTTTGCTGTAATCGTGCGCGTGTATCGCGTCTAGGTACTAAGAGGAGTTTGCGTATCGAATTTCTGTACGGAAAAATTGCTTGTACGTATCTCTTGGTTCTCTACTTTTCCGAGCACGAGTTTTTCTTTCCTTTTTTTCTCTTTTGCCTTTCTTATGAAAAAATTCAGTTCCTTCCAAGGAACGCGAAAGAAGCAAATTCCGTCTATCTTGTTCTCGGCTGATTGTAATCTCGAATATACGATCGTTGCGACGATAACGATAATACAGGAAAAATTCAAAGAGCGGAGATACGCAAATTTCTTTCACGCGCAAAGCAACGTTAATCGAGCAAAGAGAATCCTCACCACTGCTTCGCCACTTTCCATGCGACCCGCGTAATCGATGTACAACGCGTACGACATGAGCGCGTGGCTAGATATCATAGAAAATTCGATCGATCTTCAGCGATTTACGTCAGAATCGTCGCTACTGACGTCGGGCTGTACAACACCGTACGCCAAGTGTACGGTAAGAATCATTAATGCGGTATGTTGACCTATGCGTAGGCGGTTTCATATGTTCCATTACGCAACGACTCTGCGAATAAATTAAATTTTCGTATTATATCTTTCAAATTGTCAAATTCTCAGTTTCGAATTTTCGAATTTCGAAATTTCCACGCGTTAAATTGACAAATTTCACAAATTTTCGAAAACTTATTTCACATCGTGCGACGTTAATGATTTTTACCGCGCATTCCTATACATTCGAGCGATTAACCGAGCAAAGTCAATAGCACAACGTGGCTCGGAGTACCCGGATCCACGAGATCGTCGATTCCACGACACGCGGGATCCGTGAGAATTATCGAGACGAGTATCATCAAGTACGTGGATAGAGGCGCCCATTTTCCTCTGCCTTCTTCTCTCCTTCTTTCTCTCTCTCTCTCTCTCACTCTCACTCTCTTTTATTATTTATTCGCGTTGCGTCGATCGTGCGCACGACGAAGCTTTACCATCGACTTGACACAACTGCGGGACGGTTTCTTTTTGTCGTTTTTAGTAGCTTACGCGCGTATTATGTACGAGTATAGATACGTAAATTATACTTAAGCGTCATTTATACCTACGAACAAGGACCGTTCGCGTTTTATATTTCTTTTCTTTTTTTCTTTCGCATTGACGTGCGTTCGTTCGTTCAATTTCGCCGTGACAAAAGAGCGGTCTGTGAGATAAAGAGGTTTCCGAGGCCGATCATCGATCGAAACTATTTTATAGCTGATAATGAGAAATTATCTTCTTATCGTAGAGCTTGCTAATCACATTCAAAAATCAGAACAGAACACAACGGAACAAAACGGAACAAAACGGAACAGAACGGAACAGAACGGAACAGAACGGAACAGAACGGAACAGAACGGAACAGAACGGAACAGAACGGAACAGAACGGAACAGAACGGAACAGAACGGAACAGAACGGAACAGAACGGAACAGAACGGAACAGAACGGAACAGAACGGAACAGAACGGAACAGAACGGAACAGAACGGAACAGAACGGAACAGAACGGAACAGAACGGAACAGAACGGAACAGAACGGAACAGAACGGAACAGAACGGAACAGAACGGAACAGAACGGAACAGAACGGAACAGAACGGAACAGAACGGAACAGAACGGAACAGAACGGAACAGAACGGAACAGAACGGAACAGAACGGAACAGAACGGAACAGAACGGAACAGAACGGAACAGAACGGAACAGAACGGAACAGAACGGAACAGAACGGAACAGAACGGAACAGAACGGAATAAAACGGAACAGAGCAGAACAGAGCGAAACAGACCAAAACAGGGCAGAACAGACCAAAACAGGGCAGAACAGACCAGAACAGAACAGAACAGAATAGAACAGAATAGAACACAGCGGAATCAGTTACTATCGATCATTAACAATTTTTAATACGCGAAGATAATAAATCATTGAACCGAAATAGAAGGTTGATCGATTTAACACCGCCGGAAATCGCCAATCTGTTCCTAGTGCACATTGCACAAAAAGAGACGAAAGAAAACGTACAAAGAGCGTTTATTAATTAAGAGTAAGAAACGTAATGGCACGTAGGTGTGATAATATCGCGACATGCACGCTTGCTAGTTTGTAAGAAGTTTAGCGAGAGGCGCCGACATTTGCGCGTCGTCGTGCGAGATTAGCACACTGATAGAACTAATCGAAACGCCCATTTCGATCACCAAGGCGAATTCGCAACGAATATGCCGAATAGACGCGTAACATCGATTCGTCGAATCGTGTCAGGGTCTTATAGAATATCTTCGACGATACAATTTTCTCGTGAAAATCTCAAAGAAGATCGTTCGTTCTATCGTCGAGTCGTCAGAGTTGGACGAATACTTACGACACAGGACAATAAAAGTGAACTTTTTTATTAACGACGAATGAAGATGATAATCTTGTCGAAGAATAGTACAAAGACTAAACAGAACGCGTAACAATCCGTTTCTCACTCTCGTTTCCGTATTCGACTCGAAATTAATTCGTAGAATTTTTGGATCGTTCGTCGTTTAGATCCGACATCTGAGATTGCACGGTCCACTCGACGAGCAAAGGATCTCGACGAAATTAAAACCGCCAATTTCGACCTTCGTTTCAGCTTTATATTTTCTCGAAGAGCTATTTTCATTCGAAGAGTAATACGCTTCGCGACACGCGTCGCACAGCGACAGATCGCGAGGGCACGATCGTTCGTCGCTTCGACTATTTTCGATCGCCGTCCGCGCGGATTTTTGTCCTTCGTACTTCGAAGGCACGCGATACTGTCTTTTTAGTGCCTTGATTCTTTCGCCTCGCGGAAATCGTAGGATGTAAGACTGGATTTTGCGCAGAATGTGTAACGAAAGTTGTTATAGATCAATATCGCTGCGAGCAAATTTCTTTTACTTACAGCGTCAAGCTTGTTAGACCGTGACAACTTTAGCGATGTATTCTGCGCGTTAAACGAGAATCTAAATCTCGTCGTGTTCTGTTTCGATCTTGGAACGATTCGAGTGATTCTTCGACCGCGACAATGTATTTTGTACGAGAAGAAACGACGTAGAAAGACACGGTTCATCGAGAATACAATAATCAATGCACGGTAGTTATTGCCATTTTCGGAAAAATGTTCGTATCTGGTGTACGCGTTTCGTTCAGAACAGGGTAGAAACGAACTGTTCCTCTTACTTTTTCGAGCCACGGAAAACTGCTGAATTTTGCCAAACTTCGTCCATGTTTCGTCATTTTCTCTACTCTTCCATTCTTTTTCCATCGAGAGTCTTTGTTGTCTTTTTTCTCTTTTTTTCTTTTTTTTTTTCTGTACATATGCGTGTACGTATGATATTTTGTACACGATAGCACACGAGAATAGTTCGGGGTAGTTGTATCGTAATTTTAAAGCCAAGAAAATTCTGTCGTAACGAGGACTCCATAGACTCTAGGTAGGATCGTGATTTATGCAACGTATTTAAGAGACGAAAAATTGCAGACATGTATAGATATACCGTTCCGCCGCTTTTTTTACCTCGGACTTCCATGATGAATCGCGCGTCTTTGTGGCAATGGTTGCCGCGCAGAGGATGTCGTTTCACGTGCACGCGTGTTTCGTGCATGCCGTCAATTTTTGTCGGTCATTGTACCAAACGATGTTATGAATATTTAATACACAACGATTTGCAAAAGAATACAGTGTTACTTTGTATCCAGTATCTTTCGTCCTTCCTTCCGTTCCTCGACCATTCAACTTTTGAATAAAGGAAACGTTCGATTTCTGCCTAAGATTATTTATCTAAATACTTGATTTATATTCGATACGATACGCCATGCGTATCTTGCCTTCGTATTGTATTTATATTGCGTTTCTTCGGTATTATTACACATGCAAACGAATTAAACTATTCTAAAAGTATCGTAATCATAATAGATCATAGATCGAGTACCTGAAATAAAATTTGTACGGTGCTGTTAATCAAATGGAAAGTTTCTCGACAAGAAAATATATTTCGCCGTATTAATTTCATTCCAAGGTGAATAATCCAGTACCAAGGCAAAAAACAGAACTAAGAGTAACGTTATCATTCGTGAAAGTTTCCATGGTGATTGTTGTCGTTATTGTGCAAAACGTACGTACGTTCTTGTTCCGCACACCGCACATTTGCGTCATTACAAGGTAGTATCACACCTGTAATAGGAAGCATTAAAATTGATAACGTTAATCAGCCTCAGGATGTAAAAATACCGTTCAAATAACGTGTAATTCTAGTTAACTCGTATGTCTGGAAAATTCCTTCGGAGCGCAAAAGGAGATAATTGAAAAAATCGAATAGAAGATACGAGCAGTTTTCCGCTATTAGTGATTCCTGTTCCGCGTGTTCTATGTTTCGCAATAATTCCTATTATCGTTTTATATAATAATTTAATAACTTTTATACCTTCTTTTAAAGAAAGACGGAGAGGGGGAAAGGGAGGAGAGCGAGACTGATCAATTACGAAAGCTATAATAATAAATCAATTCCGCTCTTTACTATCGCTTAAAAATTCACATTCATTTGGATATAAATACACCAAGAAACGTCAACTTTTCTTTTCTTATTCTTCAAAATAAAATTAAAAAGATATTATTGCATCGCGTTATTATAGCAAGGCTTTTTAACATACTTGTTCAAAAATATTTATACGTACATAAACTTTATTTAAAGAAAAGGGAACGATATTTATATCTCCAAATTTTTATTCCAAATCCATTTGGAACTAAACCAATAAATGTAGTGTATTTTTATAAAGCGTTAAGTAAAATTTAAAAAGAACCAATGTTTTATATTTTCAAGTAGTTGTCATATTTTAGTTTCGATTCATACTACTGTTCATTGACAACCGTTTAAAAAGCGGAAACTATCGTTCGAACGCACATAGAAACTCGACTTAAAGATCGTCTTTGAGGCGTGAGGGGAACAAAATGGCTAAAGCGACAACAATAGTCTACGCTATTAAGTGACAGAACGCCATACAACTTGAATATTATCAAATAGAAACATTAATTATTCGTTTGAGATATATTCAGTGCATATCGATAGCTCGGCTTTACACGATCCAGGGAACGTAACCATGTTAAACGACGTACCAAAGAGATTAACACGAAGCTCTGAAACAACTGAGGTATGTTCAAAACACAGTCCTAGGTATAGATAAACTAACAGCTCGCTGGTCAAGGTTCGTAAGAAGAAGACAAACAGGCTAATCAGTTTTATTTATTTATTTACAATGCGTCTTTATCACGGTATATGTCAATAATGGAGCATGCGATGTTACTTCCAAGTACTTTCTACTATATGCTTTATGTTTAATAATATCCAATTTATTTTCAACTTCTTATCTTTTAATATGCCTCGATAACATCTTCATTTACATATTTCTTTATTTATCTCTGGTTTAAATATTTTAATCTAAATATTATAACCGGACATCTCTCTCTGCTAGTAGCCCTCTGTCGGAAATTGCTTCTACCAGCAACCGCGTACTAAACGGAGAGCGGGAAAATACGACCTAATAAAAAAATGAAATTCAATCGAAAATGCATTGCAAACTATTTTCAGCCCGATGTTCGCGAAGATGAAGAACAGACGGAAAGATTTCAAGATATTATCGACTTACTTCTTGCAGCAGGCTATTTTCGAGCCAGAATAAAAGGATTATCGAATTTTGATAAAGTACGTATGAAATGAATTCCCTTCGACTGTTGTAAAGAACATACTAAGACCAACAAATATTATCCTAACATTTAGGTAATTGGCGGAATGACGTGGTGTATAGAGTCGTGTAACTTCGATGTAGATATCGATTTATTGTTTCGAGAAAATCTTACTATAGGCCAAAAGATGTAAGTAAACTTATAAAACCTTTGAAATATTCAATGTCTTATACATTTTATATTACAGTTCATTGACCGAAAAAATTGTAGCTATGCTACCCAAAATGAACTGTCCATATCGCATAGAACCACATCAAATTCAAGGCTTGGATTGCATTCATATTTTCCCTGTTATTCAGGTAACTGATTCGTTTTCTCGAATTTCAGCTTTTCATTTTTTCAAATTATTTTCATAACCGACAATAAATTTTAGTGGTTGGTTAAACGTTCGATGGAAACTCGAGAAGAAACGGCAGATTTTGTACGATCGTTTGCTTTGAGTCAATTTCACAAAAAGCATTCCTTTGTTCAAGATTCGTCTATAGCAGAAACTGGCAAAGAAAATTTAATAAAAAGTATTCGCTTGATTAAAGTAAGATACGTTATTTTCAAAGTTTCGTTTAGGCCGATATTTGTAATCTAAATAGTTAGACATATATAATCTTTTCATAGAAATCGTACGAACCTCGACGTCTTTTTAAGCATAAAGATGATGTTAAAAGAGAAGAATCTACTAAATTTCTTGGTACTGTCTTGGAGTACGAAGCACCTTTGTATTCTATAAAAATTGCTTCTCCGTCCGCTGAAATTGCTTCGTCAGATGTCAAAGAAAATGAAAATAAAGAAGAGCTAAAGGAAAAGGTAAACGTTTTGAAACAATGTTCTGTCAAATAAGTGTTTAACGAAGACTGAGTCAAATTTATTTTCATAGGAAAATACAGATCAGTTAACTGGGAACCTAGCCGCTATAGAAGAAAGTTCAGTGAGTAATCGTATCAATATGATCGGTATCATAGACACTCATTTTTTGTAATTCATACAGGCTCGTTTAAGCGTAGTAGCCGTAGGTAATATCGTTGGTATCCAAGCCCAAGAGATTGCCAAAGTAACCGAAGAATATGCGGCGATGTCGATTTCCCAACCTGTGGTAAATCTTTTTCAATTTTAAATTTAAACAATACAATATTCATTACAGACTTAAGTAATTAAATCATCTTCTACATATTCAAATAACCACAGGAACCTAGTGGCACAAATTCCTCAGCAGCTTTGACTGCGTTAGAGAATCAAAGAGCTGCGCTTCAGAATCGTGTTCGTAAATTAACGAAAGAGAAAGACGCTTTATCCGCTAAGCATTTAGAATTAATCGAAAAACTGAACGAGTCTCGTACAAAGCGGCAAGCTATTGAGCGTTCGTTAAAGAAAGCAGAAGAAATGGATATCAATGAAAACGATAGGCACTTATCTTCTTATTATCCTTTTACGGTTTTATATCTTTATAATAGTTGCGTAACTTTTGAATAAAAACGAAATGTTATTTGTTTAGTATCTACAAACGATTGGAAGAACTTCTTTTAGTCCACGATGGTTTGAAAGAGCAAGAACATAATTTCCGAGAACAATGCAAATCCGATTTAAATCTCTTGAAAGGTAAGTTACAAGAAATCGAAAGTGGTACATCGGAAGAGGAGGAAGATCGCTTAAAGGAGTACGAGCAGCAAAAGGAAGCGCTCGCTAAAGTCAGATTGCAGTTAGCTAAAAAGAATAGAGCTATTGCATCCTTAACCAGACAATTGGACGATGTTCCCGGTCGTTCGGAACTTACGCAATATCAAAGACGATTTATGGAACTTTATAATCAAGGTTTGCCAATTTATTTTTATACATCGGCATTCGCTTACTCATCGCGTGCACCAAATATTCTCTCATCGTCGTTAATTTTCAGTTTCGGCAAAACATAAAGAAACAAAACAATATTACACATTGTACAATACTCTGGACGATACAAAAGTTTATTTAAGTAAGGAATTATCACTATTAAATTCGATCCAAGATAATTATAATGAGTAAGTAGTTGGTAAACCTTATATATACGCGTGTTATGCATCGATAACGGTTGTTTGCATTTCTCTTTCTGTCCACCGTGTTCACCAGAGCAATGGCATCAACAAGCGGTAAAGAGCAATTTCTTAAACAATTCGATGAGATCGTCGCAGGCGTAAAACGCAATAAGGCGAAGGTGAAACATATATTTTCTACAGTAATTTTTACAATTTATTCCGTAAAACTCGCGTTTCAAAAGCTATAAGTATTGCTGCAGCAAATGAATATATCTCTGAAAAAGGGAACTATTCGACTTTAAAAACGGGCTTTAAAACCTAATTCTAAGTTGGCAATAAAATACAAGAAGCTTTGCTATATTCTAATAACACGATCGTGTCTCATGTAGGTGGAGAAACGATGTGCTGACGAAAAAAATAGAAGGGATGCACTTAGCCGGCAACTGGTCACTCTGATAGAACAACAACGTAAATACGTCGCTGCGGTCAGACAACTCACTATTGAATGTCGTAAAAATGAGGCCTTGCTCGCGCAACTGCGGGGTCCGTAGATACAGATTTCATTTCCGCTTATCTAAAAACGTATCGGATCCTCGTATTTTTGCCTCGCGATTTTTTATTTCGTTATTAATATGATGCTGAAATTGTGTCGAAGGAATGGATACGTCATCCGAACAGTACAATAGTTAAGGCTCAACATTGAGAGCAAGACTGCGAGGAACAAGCGAGGTCAGATCAGCGGTGGCTTCTATTTATATTCACGCTATGTACATACCATTAATACATATCAAATTCCTGTTATTTTAGATACATATTCGAAAGGGTAGTCCGGTGTTAGAGAGGCTTTTAAATGAAACCATTCCTTCGCTCCGTGTAATATTAATCTTATGAGAAAGAATATATATGAACTCACTGGAATGTGGTTTTCCGTTCACCTCCCGCGTGTTATTCTTATACATATATCAATCTTTATTGAGACAGTAGCCAATGATGTATCTGATATATCGATAAATTTGCCTCAAAAAATGTATTTGCGCGATTATGAAGCTGGAGTCGTAATTAAACGAAAAAATTCGTAGCATTGTAGATACCACAGTCGTATGTAGTCGTACAATTTAAAATAGTAAAATGTCAAAGTCACATGACGTACGTGTACGGCAAAGAGTATAGATGATTACGATATATAATATATACACACCTTGGAACAATAATTTTAGTGCAATAATAGATAGCTACTTATTGTTTTCTTTTTCACGCTTGGCAAGTCGGTGTTTCCTCGTTACGCCGCCAGAGTCCTCTTCGTTCGTTGCTTTATATTGGCTATCGCCATTGTTCCTTTCACAGTGCTTATATGTTCACGTGTTTTCTTGGTCTGTCCGAAGATCTATCGTAGCCATTATCGGTGTACGGTGATCAGTGACCAGTGATCTTTTTCTTAACGTCTTTTTTAGAATGTATCGTATATCCAGCGTAATGATCTGGAATAGACACGTAATATGACAATCGCGTCGGGTGCAAAAACTATCCATTTAAACTCCTGTTCCTTCTAAATTGAAGAAACATGTGCTATCTACGCGGTGGCTATTAATGTGATTTATGTGAAAGAAATATTGCGTGTGACATGGCAAAAGACGAAGGAGACGATCTCTTGCCAGACAAGGATGCGGCCAAAGGATTTTATGCGAAGTACGAGCCCAAAGAAATCCTTGGAAGGTTCGTCACATGATATCTCGATGTGGAAAAAGAAACATAGCTTACTATTTTTATGTATCATATTTAGGAAATACGCGCGTAGCATAATAGATACGTTTTCGTTATTCGATTCTAATGTATCGCGATAAATAAATCGAGGAATTCACAATTTCTGAATAATCTAACAAACTAATCTGTACAATTATATAATTTCTTGGAATTAAATTACATTCAATTTGACTGATAGTTCCTCGTACATATATATATATATATATATTAACAAAGCAACGAAACTTGTAAACTTACGAAATGCTAATTCAACATACAGGACAGGTTACAATATTGACGAAACATTGTACACGAATAAGACGTTCCTTCCTGTCAAACATTAGTCATCGTTGCATTATTTAAAAAATCTGAAACGTTTCGTTACATAGATCATAGGAGAATTTACATTACTTTAGTATCATAAAACCACTGGTATTAAATAAGAATGCATCTATATATTATGATTATTATTCGAAAGCTATTTATATTCTATTAGCAATAACTTGAGTACAAAAATTTCACTGCACACAAATAAACATGAGAGAATATTACAGTGATACATGTATGTTTCATCATTTCTCAGTAGTCTTATTCTTGTTACTCTTATTAATAAAACAGGTTTCAACTAAAACTAATTGGTCCCATATTGATTTAAGTACGAATTAAATAATGCGTTAATATTTACAGAGGAATATCTTCCACTGTGAGAAGATGTATAGAAAAAGAAACTGGCACGGAGTATGCAGCTAAAATCATAGATATTAGTAATGAAACTAATGAAGATGGTCATACCATGAAGGATGCTACGTTACAAGAAGTTCAAATTCTTCGTAGAGTAGCTGGTCATCCATATATTAGTAAGTTTATGATATTTCGTGTGAGATAAAATTAATTTTTATGATACACTTTTCTTATAAAAAATTTGTTTTTTTTTAGTTGAATTACACGATGTCTTCGAATCTAGCACATTCATATTCTTAATTTTCGAAATTTGTAAGAATGGTGAGCTATTTGACTACCTCACGTCTGTTGTTACTCTGTCAGAAAAAAAGACCCGCTATATTATGAGACAAGTTTTTGAAGGTGTTCAACATGTACATAATCAAGGAATAGTGCATAGAGATTTAAAGCCAGAAAATATATTACTCGATGATAATTTAAATGTAAAGATAACTGATTTTGGATTTGCTAGAGTATTAAAAGCTGGAGACAAATTATATGGTACGTATATTTAAAATTATTTTATTAGATAAAATATGTATAATTAATAAAATACAAATTATTGAAATATATTATTAAAATTTGTATAATTTATAGAAATATATTACTAACATCTTTTTCAGATCTTTGTGGCACTCCTGGATATTTAGCACCAGAAGTGCTGAAGTGCAACATGTTTGAAAATGCGGAAGGCTATGGACATGAAGTTGATATGTAAGTTGATGAAACATAATGAGGGAATATAATTATGATCATACCAATCGTCTTAATAAAGGATAAAATCGTTACTAATGTTTGCCTGTTTTCAGATGGGCCTGTGGAGTGATTATGTTCACTTTATTAGTTGGTTGTCCCCCTTTCTGGCATAGGAAACAAATGGTCATGCTTAGAAATATTATGGAAGGAAAATATTCATTTACGTCTCCAGAATGGGCGGATATAACAGGTACATACATTGTGTACATAATAATTTTTACAAGAAATAACAGTTTGTGTTTGGAAACAGTGGAAAAATATTGTTTCTTGTGGCGCGCAGAGTAAACTTGTGCTTAATTAACGTAATGCATGTGTTTGTATGCATCATTTTCAGAGACTTTTAATTCAATTTCGTCTATTGTAAAAGATGGATACTATCGATCATACATTGGAAGTTATAAGATACGTATACACAGTTTTATGAAATTGTTCTTTGAAGTATGTAATATATTTTTTTATGTTGCTTCGTTTATAATTGGAGAGATAATTATCGTATTATGATAAGCAAATACACGATAGGTTTTTTTAAAAGTTAAAGCTGGTACAATATACAATAGTCAGAATATTGAAAAATTTGCAAACCTGTGCAAGACACAGTGTTACGACCCGTGACTCTCTACACAAATCAGACTCCATAACTCGGGCAAGGTGACTAAGCAAATGTCTAAACATCCTTATTGCGGACCCTCGATAGTCTTAAGGACCCATCATAAATCTTATTATTTTCATAGTTAAGGTCCTTCAGACCACAAGATTATCTTTTAAGTTGAAGTATTTCTTAGATTTGCCCATTAGATTGCCCATTCCGAGAGAACACAGGAAAGCGGTTCTTCCCACGTACAATGCCACCCAGGGGCGACCTTCGATCGGAGGCGGTCAGCTCCGATCCTTACACACCAGCCTTTTCCTCCCCCAATTAGCAGCAATGACCGTTGTCCTCACTTTCCTAACGAAAATTGCCATCAACCAATCCGATGGTTCCGTGCGCTAGGCACACCCATCAATAGTTTTCCTCCGCTACAGCCTTATCACTGAACTTCACTGGTTTTTTATCCTTAGATCAGTCAACATCCTGACTGGTTTGTTCTTTGATTAGTTATCATCTTAACTTGTTATTTACACTTCGCTGAGAACACATCTACGTGCATCACGCGCGAGGTAGTAAATCTACAAAGTTGTTGAAATAAAGCGTATGTTTTAATCTGTTAATACAGTGTTATCATCGTTTTAACTACCTCTATTATCTTAACCGAAATAGAGGATCGACTAATTCGTGGCGTCGATTATCGTATCGTAACGAGAATTTACGACTCTCGTAGGCGTGATCTACCGCGACCGCGACCGCGCCTCTCCGCGAACGATCGAACGCACAGACATACAATTTTATCTCTCTGTCATTGAATTGTAACAACAACAAGCATAAATTATAATCCATGATAATATCATCTTGAGTAATCGTCAAAGGTGTATCACCTCGATGAGCTGGTTCATACAAGGAAAATATATTGAAGACAATAGTTGTTATTGTCAAACCTTTGAACATGATAAACATTATTTTTCTAAATGAAGAAGATAATGAAGGTGCTGTTATATGTACATTTCTTAACACGTTGAATGCCATGGGCGGGGGGGTGAGGGGGTTTACACGGTAACCAGCACTCAACTTGGCCGTGACGCCGTGGGAGTCACCGATGATATCGAATGTCAATAGTTATACATTTTTTGTTATTACCATCGTTACTACAATGATGTAACGAAATTAATGCAGTATAACACATATAAAAATAATTTTATTTATACATGAAATATGAATCTATTATGTCTTATTATGTCTATTATGGGGGTCATCGGTGACCTCAGGTGAGGTAAATTCATTAATGATGATTATACACCTTAACATATCTCTTGTAAGTGATATTTCAACATTATATGTATCGCATAATAAAAGATTCATCGTGGCGCCACGGCCAAACCTTGTAAAACTGGCGTGGCATTCAACGTGTTAATGCATCGATATAATTTCTGATTTTACAACATAATCTTCAATATTTATAAATTTTGTATAGTAATTAAATTTCTATTCTGTTTTCAGAAGCTCCGAAAGATCTGATCAGAAAATTATTAGTTGTTGACCCGAAGAAAAGAATTAGCATCAAAGAAGCTTTGGAACATTCATTTTTCCATACAATGGTAAGTATTTTAGCATAATACATACGTGATCGTGATATATAAATATTTAAGCAAAGAAAGTAGAATATGTACGAAATATTTATTATTCCACGCACTTAAAATATTTGTATTATACTTCTATTTTTGTTTTTATTCGTTTGCTTTATATGTTCAACTGCCTGTATCCATAGTGACATGCTTTTATAAAATATCAAACATTGTTACGCAAATTTCTGTTTATATTAGAAAATTTAATAACTTACATATGTATATGATTAATCTGAAAGTAATTTCTTAAAATAAAAGAAGACAGTCTTACTACTCTGATAAACGGAAAATTATTGGAATTGCAGCTATGGGATCAAGACATCGCTCCTTTAAAACGTTCACTATCGACTAATTCGCGGCGTCTGAGTAGGATATCTCAGTTAGCTTTGGTAAATTATTTTTTATTTTTATTTTGTTTGTCACTAAATGTGGGTTTTTTATCGTAATCTTTATGTAATATGTTTATAAATAACAAATAACATTTTAACTTTTATTAATGTTTCAACTTAATCAAAATGAATAATGATATCTATATGTATTATATTTTATTTCTGTTTTTGTTCATGACATATATTATTTCACTAAAATATTTTTATATACTTAGGGAGCAACGCATATAAATTTGTCTCCATCGGTTATAATAATACGTAATTGATAGATTATAATATTTCAGAAAAAGCACAGCATGCATGTAAAGTGAGTCAATATTGAAACATAATTGAAATAATATATATGCATTAATTACAATGTTTGCGTGTTATATCGAAAAATTACTATAAAAATGCAATGTTTGAAGCTTTATCTACATATAATATGACTCCTATTTTATTCTGTTTCTCTTTCTGCTAGTTTTCAAAGAACTTGCCATCTTCTCGAAGATTAAGATGGTATTCATTTGCTGTTCACTATTATAACAGCTGTTTACTATGCCATTACTTTATTATGCATATCCTAATATTACCTTTCTACTGAATGCAGCGTATATGTATGTAACATACATGTTTTAACATTGCATTAACATATTAACATTATTGTGTTTAATAACACTTTTGTAATCGAAATATGTAATTATACATAGACTGTAAACATTTTCAAAGTTTTCATCTTTTCTTACGTTTTATACAGGAATTAAAGGCAAAATCATTTAATGCAAGGAAAAAGTTCCAGTTAGCAATTATTTGTGTTCGCGCGGTCGTTCGTATTAAGCGTCTCCATAGTACGCCTGAACCTCTTTCGACTCACGTAGCGTGCACAGACCCTTACAGGATCAAAATTTTGCGGAAGGTATTTTTCCTATTTTCTTAGCATATCTTACTCATCGGCTTGTTATCCCATAGATTGATGAAATAATATTCACGTAATTTTTGTTATAGGTTATCGATGGTTGTGCCTTCAGAGTTTACGGTCATTGGGTAAAGAAAGGAGAGGGGCAAAATCGAGCTGCGCTTTTTGAAAATACGCCAAAGACAGAACTTAAACATCTCTATGTTAGTAATTTGAGCAGATAACTAATGCTTAACGAAGCATTATCTAGTTAAAATTGTTATTTCTTATGTTAGTCAACATTTACAGTATCTAAAGAAAATATTCAATAAGAAAAAATGAAAAAAAAAATACATAACTTACATAAAAGTTTTTCTTAATTTTGGCTGTAATACAAGTAATTATTTAGACGATCTTTATGATAACTATAAAGTATTTGTTTACTTTTATTATTGAATGTGCAGTATCATAAGGTAAATCATATAATGTTTTAATTATTCTAAATGTTCCAAAGAAGCAATTGGATTATTTAGTTTTTAAATTCCTTCTGTGGAAAAGAGTTTTAAATGTTATTTGTTTCTAAGGCCTATCATATTAAGCCTAATTTATTATTTTTAAAATATAGTAACATACAGTAAATATGAATTATATGCAACGTTGAAAAAAAAGCTAAAGATTGTGAACAATTTGCTTAGTGAAATGACGTTGTAAATTATTAGTATCACACCCTTAGAACTATGTTTCGTCTAGAAGAAGTATTACACAGAAAACAGTTTGTGCAACTATGTTTTGAATGTTCCGCTTTAAATCTGTAATAATTTTCTTCACAGTATTTTTCGCTGTTTTCATAGTACGATATAACATAAAATAACTTATATCGAAATATCGAATAAGTTCAAATAAATTCTTATATGTGCTAGAGAAGGAAATAGGATTTAAAGATGATCATTAAATATAAATGACGGTGCTGATACGTACAAACGTAACAACACGACATATTCTGTTCCATGACGCCTATTTTTTATAGTTCGTACGTTTTTGTTAAGTGTATTCAACAATTGTATAAGTAACACATATGATTTATTACAAATCAGCAATTCACACAAAATTAAATTTGTACTAACTTCGAAGTATATGCATGTTCTTTATATTTAAATATTTAATATGTAATTTTAATAGCAAACAAAGGTTGAACGTCATTTAGAATACTTACAATTAACGCACGGGAATTGAAGTCGTATAAAAATTAGTTAAGAATATACGTATAATGAATGGAGGATTTAGAAAAATCGATAGGAAAAGAAAATCTAGAACTATAAATTTCTTCATGTTCGTAGAAAGAAAACGTGTTCCATGATAATATTATTTACCGAGATCTGTATGTAGATTGTAGTATATAATATTTTGTGCAAATTCTAGTCATACTTTGTATTGCTGAATTTGTTTTAGATTATAAATTGCAGGAAGAAAAAATATATGTGAAATCAATTTTTCATGAAAAATAAAATTACCAACTTCTTAATAACGAAGCAAATTACAGTGAATTGAATTTTATATATCATTTAGAAGGTTACAAGTAATAATTAAATGTATGTAAATATTTAAAATTATATATTACATATATTTTGTGCAAAATGTATACAAAGTAAAATATTTTTAATAATATCTAATACCTTATATTTTCATTCCTCTCTGTTAGAAAACAATTGCGACTGTACGTATTTTATATAAATTTAGTAAATTTCATATTTTAGGTCAAGTGCATGTATAAATGTATTTTTATAATACTTACAAATATTTTATTTATGATATACGGTCATGGGATTACAAGGCTTTCGATTGACTCTCTTACAGATAAGCCAAGCCATGATCTTATACTAAACACATTATCATTTATGCTAGCTTAAAACTAACTTGAGCTAATTTTATTTATTTTATTTATATCGTATATATACATACATACATATATATATATATATATATATATATATATGTGATAACAATTTACAAAACAACGATGAACATTAATCTTTATATTTATTTTTAATCCATATTTCTCTTAAATATAGATGCTAAATATCTCTCTGGTTTACTTTTATTAATAACATTTCTGTTTCAATAAAGACGTATGTAGCTTAAAAACGTTTTACACAGTTATACACCATTAAAAGTATGTATACCACATTTCAGGACATCAAGTTGTTATGATTATCTTTTAAATGAACGTACACTTTTAAATTAATGAAACGTAATTATTTAAACATAATTAAAATTTTATTAGTTCAAATAATATTTAGTAGAATAGTAGAATGATCTTTTGATTGCGTGACAAAGATTTGACAGACTATTAAAAAAGATATCTCGTGTAAATCGAAAGAAAGGAAAAGGAAAGGTAGGAAATTAGGTAAGAAAAAGTGACGGGACGTGGTTTTGGCGCGCGCGCAAAAGTAAACAATGAACTGTATGGTTCTATATGGTAGAAGTGGCAACAGCGTAGAGGTCCGATCCATGTGACAGAGAAGGAACGTGACAAAAGGTGGCAGAGGGTGACGCCGCCGAGATCGGAGTGAGTGTTTGCCCGGGCGAGCCGGGTGTCGGGTGTGCTGTGTACGATTGTCGCGATATTCGTCCGTTCTGGCGTCCACCGGAAGGTAAGCGTGTTCGTAAAAGATATCGTCTGGTTCCGAGACCTCGGTTCGATAGATTTTTCGCAATGGTACCGAAGAAAACGTGAGAAAATCAGGAAAAAAGTGCACCAACTAACGAGCAATATACAGCAGCTCGACACTTCTCTTACACGCCCAGCGGAGTGCTGCGTCACATGGGCCGCGCTCATTGGTCGATACAGCCAGGTGACGTCATGAACCGCGCTTTGATTGGTCTATACCTCGGGCCCCAGACACGTGAATCGTGGCCAAGCAAGCATGGCTGTTGATGCGCAGTGGTTAGCACTTGTAAAATGTTTCTGCCACGCGCTAGATCGATCAGGTTATAACCGTCGTGTATCGTAAAACGTCGCGAGATCGTCCGCTGTTCAAAAATTGACAAGTGCCTTGTGATTTTCCTCATGTGTCGCGTATTTGACAGGAGAAATATCGTTGAAATTCTCGCAAGAAATTGATTTCTACCGTGAAAGTGGGTTCCAGCGTGTTTCCATTGTGACCGAAATATATTGGTAGCGTACCTGTAAGTTCCTGATTATTTTCCAGCGGTTTCTGGCATTACCACGCCCGTTTAAAACCCTCCGCGGAACATTATCTCGTCAGAACTATCGCCTATTTAATTAACATGTGTATAGGTGGTTGCGTGGCGTGTTTTCCGTGCCATAATAGACCTAGCCAATCGCACGGTACTTCAACTCATGACGTCACGTTATAGCAAGCTCCTATTGGCCAACGGTGCGTGCGTCGCCCGTCTAACGTGTGTGTCGCTTTGTCAGTTTAAGGAGCTCGTTCGGTCTACGGCACGCTTCTTGACTTTTCGTATACTCTTCGATAGACAGAGCCTTTCCTTTACTCGAACTCGCAGCACGCAGTGCATCGTGTTCTTCTTTCCTATTTTTGCATGGTTGCGCCTACTATGGAATGCAATTGTATCCGCTTGTAATCGTGGTACGCTTTCGCGATTACATTGCCCGGGATATATCTACTTTTCAAATCAGCGGCGGAACCTCGTTTCTCTGCGTCGCCTTTCCCGCCTCTGTCTCGTCAACCTTTTTTCTTCGCTCACTGATTTCTCGGACTGCTCGCACCCGACACTCTACACACTCTACACACTCTACACTCTACACTCTACACTCTACATGTTTGTATTCGCGAATACGCTCTTGCGCGTATCAACGCCACGTAACGACTCTCGTTTCTGCTATCGACGCTACATCACAGGAAAATTAATCCAACTCGTTAAGATGCGACAACGCCTCCTAAAGCCACTGCGTATCTTCTCCTTATGCTCTACTATGATTTTAGTGTCAGTGAATGTTTAACCATTACAAAAGTGTAAAGTGCACTCCATAATTTTCCATTTAACAGCATCTAGTTCAACTTCTATTTAATTGAAATCTCCCAAATTTCTGTTCCTTATATACTTTTGGGATGTCCAGCTTTATCATTCACGATTATTTTATTGAAATTTGTTTCTTTCATTAATGTTTATAATAGATAAGACGTAAACATAAAGAATACATAAACATACCGATTTATCGTTTGTCATGTTGATTAATCTTCAATCTATTAATGCTGTTACATATAATATATCTAAAATTTGTATATCATGCATAAGATTTTCCTTACAATTTATTATTTCATCGGTATCAAGATTATGATAGATGGAGAACAACTTTTTTGTAAAGTACATTCGCAACCGTGTTTCAAGCAGTAAATTGCGAGATATATATTACGAACGATATGAACGGCGTCTCTTCGCGTTATTTTCTTTTTGACTGTTAGATTGTTTCCAGCGATCGGAACTCAAGATGCGTGTTAATGCTCTGTGCTCCAGGAAAGCGCACGTTGCGCTTGCGCACCTCCTCCGTGAGGTATTACGAAGACGGTACGTGGGAGGGGATAAAGCTTCCCGCGCGACTGCGTTACGTCACGCGTACGTCACGTGACGTATACTCAGACACCGGTCGTGTCCGTACCGTCTGCAGCTCCGTACGAAGAAGCTAATAATATTATCGAACAACAAAGTGTCAAACGTTAAGGAAAAATAACGATCATGCAGTTGAAATGGTTGTTGGTCGATCCGAAGCCGTGTCCCTGCAAAACAAATGAGAAGATGTGACATGTGTAATTTTTTCACGGTAACAGAGGTTCGCACTTGCCGTGGCGTCGATTAAGTGTCGTACCATGTCCAGTTAATTGGCTTTCTACCTCTTTCTTGGTGTATCATACGCTGCTTATTAAATAAATCGCGGACGATGAAACGAACGCGAGTATTTACGTTATTACATACGTCTTCTCCTCTCGCGTTTGCCAAGGTCGACAAATCAAGATCCAACGAGTTGCTACGTACCCCCACCCTTCGCTCTGAAGTGACACTGCGATCCGGTGCATTTTCAGTATAACTAAATGGTTATTTTTTGTATTTTGTGGATTGTAGATTGCCACCCGCGGCTGGCAGCAGCAGAAAAAGAGGAGGGTTGAGACACGAGAACGGGCTCTCGACTTCTTCGTCCTCGGCAGCCGGCGACGGGAATCGACGGTCCGATCGCAGAGTCTCAATCTCCCGAAGGATCTTGAAAAGGAACAGAGCTCGTCGTGGAGCGAATCGGCAACGTCAGGATGAGCCTGGAAACGTTGCTGGAAGCAGCGCGGTTCGTCGAGCAGCAGGAGAAAACGAGGGAGCGCCTCGCAAGCAGCTCTTCCTCCTCCTCCGATCATCCGCTCGCTGTAGCTCCCCACTCCAACCATCACAACTCCAACGAGCCACGTGGTGAGTACCACGCGCCACTTTTCGGCTACCGTTCACAATACATACAAATACGTAGAATAGCTTAACGCTGCGAATTGCTTCCTGAAAATCTTCTACCGGCTTGATGCCCGTTTCATGCAAGAACGAGTGACAATACAAAATCCACGTTGCTTCAAACGCGAATTTCACCGTAAGAAATAAGCTTTGAAACAAATCGCAAAATTATATAGATTTGGAGAAAAGTTAGAAACGTTTGTTTCTTTTGGTATAC